ATGGCATGCGGGAAAGGAAGGCAGCCAACCAGAGAAGGACATGGATGAAATGCAGTATATAATGAGCGGCGTGGCCAGCGTGGTGGTGCAGAATATCCGAGCCCTAATAGGAGAAACACCGGTATAACAGAACTGGCTTTATTGACCAATTAGAAGCCAGAACCACGCGTCAGGTGCCTTCCATCCGAGTCCGCCACGCTAGCCACGCCGCTCATCATATACTGTTCCTCAGTCGTGTCCTTCTCTGGTTTGCTGCTTATCTTTCTCTAATGTCATTGGATCGCAGAGAGACACAGGATTAGCTAAAAGGCCAGGTGGTCCAATATGTCTGCGCCCCAATCCAAGGCCACAGTGGACTCGGATGGAAGGCGCCTGACGCGTGGCTCTGGCTTCTGATTGGTCAATAAAGCCTATTCTGTTGTATTGGTCTTTTACCTATTAGGGCTCGGGTATTCTACAGTGGCGACGGATAAGGGCGCAGACATATTGGACCACCTGGCCGTAGCCAATCCTGTGACCCTCTGCGTTCCAGTGGCATGCGAGGAAGGTAAGCAGCCAACCAGAGAAGGACACGAATGAGATGCAGTATATACTGAGCGGCGTGGCCAGCATCGTGGACTCGGATGGAAGGCGCCTGACGTGCGGTTCTGGCTTCTGATTGGTCAATAAAGCCTGTTCTGTTGTACTAGTCTTTTTCCTATTAGGGTCGGGTATTCTACACGGCTAACCAGAGACAGACACGTATAAGGAGCAGTATATAATGAGCGGCGCAGCCAGCGTATGCACTTTGATGGATAAAACCAGGTGTGCGGGATTGGCTAATGGTTGGGCAATGTAACCAGTTATGTTTTATCACAGCTCTTTATACTAAGGCCCGTGTGTGCTACAACAGGGATAAAGGAGCGTGCCAAGGGAGGAAGAGTTTCTGGTTGGTAATATGGTAACAGGTTGTTCCTTTGCACCATTCTTAATCATGATAGGACTCAAGCATTCCACATAAATACCAGAGAAAATAATTAATGGCAATCGTGTGAAAGAAGCCGTTAGGGATCTCGACTAAAGAAATACAGGGATGGCCAAAAAAGGCCTTGACATTTGTGCTAGTAACCATTAGCAAACGCGGTAGAATACTATAGAATAAATGAAATGTTTACATGTAAACCCCTTTGGTTCTACAATAAATTTTTTGAAGTACTTAGGATGCAAAAAATTAGCAGCATAATTGAGTTATTTAAGGAATGTTCTGTTATTTAGTTATATGAATAGGCTAAATATTTGTTGGTCCTAAAATTCTTATTCTAATAAATTTTCAATGCTGAATGTTCTTCTTAGGTATCAAAAATGGTCTGGTTTTTAATTTAACAAAAATACCTTTTAAATCTCTCTAAAATGACAATTTAGAGGCAAATACGGCTCATGCATGTTGATTGTGTGTGCTAATTATTAAGCAAAAAAACTGGCAGACCATCTGAACCCATGCTTTTGTGATAGACATTATACACATTAAAAAAGTCATGAAAATATATGAATGAAAACCCAACCTGCAAAAGAGATTTTGGCTACCAGCATTGACAACATACCATGTTTGTTGCTGTTTAGGATTGGTCTATGATCGATAAGTGTTTACTTACACATGCATCAATTAGCGCGTCGGCTATTCTTTTAGAGCCTAACAAAAATAATGCAATTTGCTTTTTTGGAATTTCTAATTACGATAACTTTGACTTCAGTAATCAAAAACGGTGATTATATCAAAGTAATGTATTCAAAACACATGTCTTTAATCAGCGGAGATTTTATGTTTGAACTGAAGTATATTCAAATTTGAATTTTACTGAAACCCGGGATTCATTCTACAAGGAATGACTATTTGTTTTCCCTCATTACTAATTGAAATTATGACGTTCAAACATTGAGGTCTTGAATATTGCAATGCAGCACTAACACATTTGCAATAAAACTCATGTGTACCGTTGAATTCAATTTGCAATTTGTGAACATGTTACTGTTTTCCTACAGAAAAGAACTACAATTTAAAATTAGTTATTTGCAAGTGCAACACAAGAAGATAATTTTTAGGCCTACACCATGTGTTTAATTACAAATCACTGCTGAATATTTTTTATTCGGAATTAATAGTATTTTCGAGCCTACTTTGATACAGTGAGTTACACATCATGTATGAAAGAGATGCATCGAGTTTCGGTAAAGAATTTTTGTCCTGTGAAATTTTACGTAAAATATATAAACCTAATAGTTTCTAAATAAGCATGTATACTTCAAATAAAACGCTAAATTTGATAATGGAAGCCATATTAGTTAAGTCCAATAAAGTAAATTAAGAAGATATTTTTATCTGGTATAAAGAGTTAGGGGATGACAATTTTTATAATTGTAAATCTAAGGGTAAATCACATTATTTACTAATTGTATGTTTCTAGTGGTCCTATTATTCTCAATTTTAACAATAGGAATAGAAGATGACTATGCTTTTGATTTTAAATATATAGTGGTGCGCAGTTATTATGCTTATTGTGATATAAGTTTATATTAACAATTTTTTTTATCACAAATTAGAATTTAAAAAAGGCAAATGTTGTTTTTCTGATAGTAAGAGCGAAATATTAGGCGGTTTTATTTTGACATAATTAGGCGTTGTTTTGTTTTCTCTTTCTGATATCTAAGGTCATAGAACCTGCGACTAATTAAATCTGGGTTCCTTACACCTTCGCCTTGATGGAAAACATGGCTGGAAAGGTTGAACCGAATGATTTAGGCACAAGGGGACAAGAGGATTTAAATAAAGGATCAGCAGAACAGTTTGATTCTTCTCTATTGCAAAAGGCTACACCTGAGTACTTACAAGAGCTTTTGATGGATAAAAAGCAGTTGCAGAGCATGCCCAACAGTTTTAAGCATATAGAGTTAATACTAGAAAAAGGTGGGCATTTAATTTTTTAGCAGTTATGAATTGTTTAATCTGAATTTCAAGCGTCATGTATGCATATATTCTTGAAATTGTAGGTGTAATGCAGGTAACAATCCAACATTAGTGTGGTCTACTTACGCAAGAAAAATACTCACTTTTGCCTTAACATAGTTTTATTGTTCTATTCGCATTCTATTGATTAAATTAACCCGCATTTATTGAATAATACGATTATCACTAATGGCTGTTTATAAATGGAATACGATATTGCTAATAACGAAATTGTCTTGATTACTTTAACACACACTGGCTTTTCCCTATGCCACAGTTTAATTCTGGAAAAATGAGGCCCAAGTTGTCTGTAATTAATTGGCCGTTCGGGTGTGATTGACTAAAACTGTAACAGCTTAACTTTATAACAGCGAGCTCGCTGAAATTGATCTTTCAATAATTTGCTTTTAGAATGTATTTGATTTGCATGATTTGTGCTGTAACATGGGCAAATCACATTAAATTATACTTCTTTAATTAGAAATTGCACAAGTTCGTGAACGTCTGTTTCACAAGAATGGCTCTATTCAAAAGAACAATACAGAGTTACCCGACCCATCGGGCCCCATAATAACCCTCCAGAGGAAAGTGTATATTCCTGTTAAAGAAAATCCTACTGTAAGTAAAAATTAACACAACGAACAGTATTTCAGTATAATTTTGTTGGAAGATTATTGGGACCAAGAGGACTCACCGCAAAACAGATGGAGCAGGACCTTGGTTGCAAAATCATGGTTAGAGGGAAAGGGTCAATGAGAGACAAAAGGAAAGTAAGTAATCCGTATTTCTTTGACTTGTTTTCGTTTTTCATGCTCTTTTTGAGAAAATCGCTAATATTAATTGTGTTTACATTAAACAAATTAAAATAAGGGGCTGGCACAGTGATGCTTAATGACCACAAAATTTTCGTTAAGAATTTTGCAAGGTTGGAATATAATCACGTTTCATGCCAAAAAGCAGTACTTTATCCACTATTAATGTTAATTTCGTTCTAAAAATGCAGATTTTGTTTGAATTTTAACTATCCTGTTAAATGCACCTGTTACTTTAACAAGCAAAATCGAAGAAATATCATAGACTATTAAATGGACTGTCAAACACAGTTATTTGAATTCAGACCTTTTAATCAACAGGAGGATCAAAATCGGGGCAAGCCAAACTGGGAGCATCTTCAAGAAGAACTGCACGTGCTAGTGAGCGTTGAGGATTATGAAAGCCGAGCCGAACTCAGGCTTCAGCGTGCCGTGAATGCCATCAAAATATTTCTTGAACAGGGGTTACGAACTGTGAGTTATTGGAATGTTTTATTTTGCTGAAGAATAGGACTGACAGTTTCCGTCTGCTGCGAATGGAATAGTCTATTTTGCACACAAATGGATTGAAATCGGCTTTACTTACCACTCCAGTGACCCTAAAATGTGCAGTTTATTAGGAAAATTTCACAAATCTGAACTTATACTAGCACCGATTAGTGGAGAGTTTTTTTGCGTAATTAGGCTTAAAAGATTTATGCAAAGAAAGCCTTTATGTCCCCCGACAAAGGTTTTCAAGGGACGATGAGTGTTTGTATAATCTTGCTTATGTAACCTCGCAGCGAAACAAGTTAAGAATGTTGAACCAGCAAGTCTAGAAGCCACGCAATATTTGTTCGGATCATTGAATTTAATAAGACGTTTTACCTAAAATTCTAGTAAGCTTCAGCACTTTGAGCAAAGTTTATCTTTGATAGACTTGATAACAACACTTTACACTTACACATTACGTTGTCAGACAGAAATGCTTGTTTAAAACGATTGTTTGTTGGCTGCCTGAATGTATTCTACTGAATTTTTCCCAAAAATCAATTCAAGGTTCCACTTTACCAGTAAATAAGAAACATTTTAGCCGTGTTGATTCAAAAGACCACCAAGTGACTGAACAGACACGCTACCTGTTAATTTTAAGACGAAAATGCAACTCTTCAAAACGCAATACTCTGTGCCATTCTCTATTCTTTAAGTTGATGAACTTGTTGTAGCATGGAAAATTTTGAGTACATTCAGGGGCTCAATAGAGCAGACTGCTTATTCGTAAAACCACTCACTCCTTTTTGCGCAAAATTAGCTAAAAATAGGTCGCATTATAATAGTACAGGTGCTTGCACAGTCAGTTGGCGGTTTAACCGAAGTCAAAGTTAGAATTAGAAGTTTCGACTTTAAAACACAGGATAAATAGGTTAAGAATAGACTCACAAGAAGACCGAGCTAGTTGAATAACTGTCATGAGAGAAGCAAAGCACCATTATGACTTCATTAAAAAATCAAATTAGTGTATATCTTGAGTAGTTTTATTTTTAAATTCCTATAAAAAGGAACAAATTGCGAATTTTCAGACACATATAAACGTCATTATCTTAAAAGACTCGTGATTTAAAAAAAAGTTTTGATAGCTAATTTTTGCGATAAAAATTCCAGCACCCATTAATTCCCTGTTAGTGTCTAGGTCACGCGCAGAAATCGCGCCTGACGATGAGTGACGATAAATTCGGAAGATTGTCAACCAAAAATTGCCTCAGAGTGAGTGGCCATCGGGTCGAGGGTTTATTTTTGTAGCGTAAAACGAGTATCCCGAGCGTTCACGAACTTTACTTCGTCAGTCATAAAAGTGACCCTTGGAGCAGCGCCTAAACATTGGTCCTCAGGCTTGAATCTGATTTTGTAGAATTATTTATTTATTTTGTCAAAATCGAAAAAATTCCAATGTGCATTTGGCGTAGTATTCTCAGAGAAACATCAGACCTTGTGTCAAACGCAACTCGAAATTGGACCAAACACGGGCAATACAAAGCTCCACTACCGTTCGCATAACGTCTCTTTGTGCATGTGAAGTAAATTAATTGTCTGTAGTAAGTAAAGAAAGTAAGGAGTGTAGTGATTTCAACTGAAGCGGTTGTAAGTAATTATGGACGTGGCTTACAGCACACACACACACACACACACACACACAATCGAGCTGAGAGGGCAGTTGGTGTGTGTGCGTGGTGTGTGTGTGTGTGTGAGCTTCTCTTGACGTAGGTGAGGTATGCGCATCCGCGTGAGTGCACGTGTTTTGACTAAGATTTCTCAGCACTCGTCTTCTGCTCTCATACGGGCTCATCTCTTCTCACAACGGGTGCTGCTTGAGAAGAAATATCTTTTTCCACGTTTTTCTAGTCAATGCGCACGCACAAAAGAGTGACTGCCAGTGAAGTGAGGCCGCTCTCACTAGGGTAGCTCGTAAAAACGCGATAACAAAGTTATAGAAAGCAAAGCAGCATGTTCCATTAATTATTCCCAATCGGGATGATGGAAGCGAATGCAGAAACGATCCAATTTCAACCAGGCAAGTCAATCAGCTGTTGCACTTTTGCAACGGTTGAGTTATTTCATTGTTTGGTGGGCAAAGAATTTCATTTCATGGTTTAGTGGCTCTTCTACCAAAAGCACAGCTATGCCCCAAAAGAATAATTCACGCCATTTACGGTGCTTTGCTGATGAAGGTTTGAAGAGGTCGGACTTACAGAAGCTAGTAAACAGGTTGTGTCAATAATTATCGTCTGCATAAGCAACTCCTCAGCTAACGATCAATTATCTTGTTCTTTTTAAAAAAAACTGGAAAACAGCCACTTTTTAGGTGAAGGGCGTCAATTTGCACTAGGTAACCATTCTGGTATAACTGAGAGCAACATAAACATTAGCATGCCACAGCATTTTTGTGCTAAATTAACTAAAGCACAAACAAATCGCAAGGAAACACGGACTTTGTTGCAAGCACTTCTGTGGTCTCACTTCGCCACGCCCATTGCGAACCGCTTTTGCCTTAATTGCTCTCAACTTACTGCAAATTTAACGAAGAACGCCATGACAGAAGGAATGCCCAGAGAGAAGAGAAACAGTGGATTGTCATTCCTAGTGTGACTTCAAGGGGCAGCTGGTCCGAGTTTTGTCTGTGGTTTGTGGCTAAATTTTTTTCAAATATTTGGTTGTAAAGCCACTGCAACCTTTCATTTAAAAATGTGGATATTTGGTAGCTGCTACTTATTTAATCCACGTGGTTAACTAGTTTATGTTATTTAAAAAAAATTTTTTTCTTGAAATTGAAATAAATGTGCACTTGCACAACAGATACCAAACTAGATAAAAATTAGTGTAGTGATAAATTTGAGGTCTGTGTGGAGGGGTGTGCGTGTTCTCCTCGGTGTAGCTTTGGGCTTTAAGGAAAATAAAATGCATATTTAAAAACAAAACAAAGACGAAAACTGTTGGTCGCATGCAACGCAAACTAACATTGATCGTTTTTTTGCATTTAAAAAAAACACACAGTTAGGAAATCGGGAAAAAATCTGAGGTATTTTACAAGTGTTTCAAGCATCCAAGAGGTTCAAGTTTTTTAAATGTCTGCATTATAGCTGATGTCAGCTGATATCACTACAAATGTTTTTTTGCACGATATTGAGTTGCATAAACTACAGAGAATTTCTAATTCATACCTTTGAATTTCACAATTCTTCTAATCCGCAGTTTAAAGTTTTCAAGTCCTTTACTCAGCGGATTAAAATAAACATATTGAAATTGATTTGCGACCAGTGTAAACCTGATAAGAAATTGAGTAGAACTAATTGCCGGATACTTTGGTGGGATCGTTTCTACGAAAAAAATTCATTTTCTTAAACAACTCACCAAAAACATGAGTTATGCTTTGAGGAGAAAAATTCCTGTGGCACGCGACCAAACAATAGCACGCGAAAGTCAGATTTGTTAAGATGCGAAGTCCCCGAGGTCACAAAACTCGCAGAGGCAGGCGATGGAAATTTCTTTTAGATTCAATCAACAGGTCATAAAACATTGAAATAATCGACTGAACAGAGAAACAAATGTGCGAATAATTTAACTCATTTTCTTTAAGTGGATCTTTAGTAAAGTATTAGTCCGGAAGCGATTTCGCCGTTGGGGAAGTCCAAAGATCAACTCTACTGCTCACAGTGTAATTTTACCTGGTGTATAGTTCTGAGTTTGACACGAGAGGCCCGAATTCTAAAGGAATCCCAATGATATTGTTGCTTCCTATGAAAAGAATATTCCTCGTATTAAAGTCTACATCTCCTGTGTTGCTACATGAAAGAGGGAACACCAGCCTACGGTCTAGGAGCGTTGGTTTTTAAATTTTACAACGACACCTACCCCTAACCTGCTGCTGCACTATGAATCTGGACTATCGTTTTTCCATCGTCACAATGCTCCAGCGAGTTGACTTTTTGAATGTCACCACCCAGAGGGCCATCGAATGCATTCACCATTGGGCTAAAGTTGCCTCCTGTAGCAACTTTTTCTGTGTCTGAGTGAAGTTTTTTCTCACCAGCCCACAATCCCTACACCGGGCATTGTGTGGTGTTGGAGCCATGCATGTTCACGAATTATTGTCGTCTTATAAGAATAATTTGAATTTATGTTGACTCAAAAAAGGGGTTCGGCACTTGTACAAACCAAGCTGAGCCAATGCTTGCATGAGTAATTCTGGTATTTATTGTGTAGATGTGGCCGTATTCTGCGGACCAATTTAATGCCACGCAAAGTCCTCAAACTGCGTATTTCAGTAGCACCGTCAGATGCCAAAATATGTAAACATCAAAGGGTAAAACCAGATCTGGCGAAACAACGAAACGCCGTCCAGTTAGGTGTCTGCACGCAAGTGTTAAATCCGTTAAAGTGACAAAGGTCGACTGTTTTCACGCTAAGGAAACAGGCCATCTACTAGGACGACAACAATTATGTTCATCTAAATGATTTTTCCTCAAAGAGGAGGCGATTCGACGTGTTTTTAGTTGTTTAATACGACAGAAGTTGACTGTGCCTTAACAAACAGACACTAGTCTAAAAATTTAAGAGTTGAAGATTGAAAACTGTCGATTAGCTCTTGAGACATTTTACTGCTTGTCTCAGTAAGCGGCGGATTCACCGAGATCATTTCTTAAGTGAAGCGGGTTAAATCCAAATTTGAAATCACTGAAAATAGATTTGCCATTTGTGTTTTTTTAAAAGCACTATGCTGCCATGCGTTTTCGTCTGTTCGGAGAGCTCAAAGCCTTATTGAACAACATGAAAAAAAGTGCTGAAAGTCAATTGGTTCCGTATTGTTGACTGGAGTGCATAAAAAGTATCACGTTACGCACAGAAAGTTTATTCTTTTTCAGTTTTCGACTAGTAGAAAAGACCAAAAATTGGGCGTTTTTACGATGCGAGGTACATTTCAAGGAATAAACTTGGTTTTGCAATCGACGTTTGCCTTATCGGTGTGTCAG